GAGAGAGAGAGAGAGAGCTAGCGAAGTCCTGTGTATCAAAATGTACATGTTTTCTGTGAGCAAAAGGTAGGTTGAGAAAAATTTTTGGCTTTGAAACTTTGCAAATCATTTTTAATTCATCTTGTGGACACTTCTAAACAAAGTGTTTTTGAGCTCTTAAAGCCCTTGATCTAATCGTCAATTTGATGGAAAATCCAGAGTCAATCTTAGAGGGGGCGGATTGAGTTGCACCTTTTCTTGAGCCATACGTCATTTGTTTTCTTGATAGTTCCTTAGATATGAATAAAAATGCTTTGAATGTTTTGTGGTCAAACAAATCCCATTAACTTCCCCTGGAATGTGTGTACATAGGTACTGGGTAGTATGCAATCTTTTCCTGCAGTCACTGATTTGTATATATCACAATGCTCATAAAACAAATGGTAAGACTAGAATGAATTGTAAATGGCATTTCTACTTAAATCTTACATACATTTTTGTATATTCATCACTTTATAGAGACAGTCTGATCATTTGGTTGGCATATACTTGATATTATTGCTGAGGGACAAGTTGTACCATTGTTATTCTAGTGAAAATATAATTGAAATTTTCCCTATAGAACATAGGTATATTTGGACTTATTAAGTACCTGGACATTGACTTCAAAATAACCTTGTCGATTAAACAAGAATATGATTGTTCCTTTGCCTAGTGGCAACAATAACCATTTAAAGTAGTTTCTCTATAAATAAGCAAGTGTGTTTTGTACATATGCCATTCACGACTCATCATGCCTTAGACTTATTGTTCTGAATTGGCTGTTAAGGCTAAAGAAACCATGTCTGCGCGTGTATGTGTGTGCATGTGCATGTCTAAGCTGGTCATATTTGAAGTAATATAGGGGTAATTATGTATGATGTGGTGAGGATATGTCTAAGCTGGTCATATTTGAAGTAATATAGGGGTAATTATGTATGATGTGGTGAGGATATCATGTTCTAACCAGGAGTATGGAAGTGTCTAGTTTCCATCTGGTTGGAACTTCTTGTGATGGCTATCATCTGTCATATTTGTATTTTTAATTTTAAGTTTATCCAGATGAATACTGGTTATAGTGGCCGCCGTTTAAAGTATTAAGACGTTTTGCTTTTTTCACTTGACCTTCTGATTGATACAGGTTATGCTGGCTATCTTAATAGGAATGCTAACTATATTGACGTGGCATTTTACGAGGGTGTACACGACAAAATCTATAAATAGCTTAGCTTATGGACTTCGTTATGAACTTTTGCAACGGCCAATATTGCGGATGTGGAATATTTTAAATTCAACTGTTGAGGTTACTGTGGCACAAGTAAAGCTCTCGCAATACGTAATTGGACAGCACACAAATCCAGACACCCATGCAAAACAGGCTGAGGTGCACTTTAGTGTATGTTTGAATTCTGTAGCATACTCCTTTTTTCTGTTGTTTGCATCTAAATATATATATATATTTTGTTGTCAGCAGCTGTATGAGGTTATGCGGGATATAACATGGGCTCTTTTTTCAAGTCGGAAATTTCTCAATGCAATAACTATAAGCTATGGGGATGGACATGTCCAGGCATTTCATAGAGATCACAAGAAGAACAATACATATTACATGTATTCAGAACTTACAAATTTACAAAGCAAGGAAATGCAAATGGTTGACATGCTAGCATCATCTCATTTTTGGCGCAACAGATCTTCAGCTGGAGGCATCTCAGCGATTTGGTATAAAGAAACACTAGATCCCATCACTGGAAAAAGGATAGGGCTTCGAAGACAAGTTCCACCAGATGATATTATCAATATTGCTGGCATCTCGGCAATCCGTGATGGTGCTGCCTCATGGCATGTAACAGTCAGTAAATTTACAGACTCACCATTGCTTTCAGCCGCACTCCCAGTGCGGTATCCTATTGATGGAAGCATTGCGGCGGTAGTGGGAGTCACCACAACATTTTTTAGTGTGGGTCAGCTGATGAGAGAATTGGTTGAATTTCATAGTGGGTACATATACTTGACTTCTCAAGAGGGTTATTTGCTGGCAACATCAACAGATACCCCACTTCTCAGGAATACGACAACAGGTCCAAAACTCATGATGGCTGTTGATTCACAATACCCCATAATAAGATCAGGTGCTGGGAGGTTGCAAAAAGCATATGGGGGCAACTTACAACTTAATCATGAGATTCATATGGAGAATGTCATACTTCAAAACCAACGTTACTATCTTGATTCTTTCTTTCTCAACCTGAAAAGATTGCCTTTGGTACGTTTGCATGGTTGCTAGTTTGCATGATTTTAGAGAGAATGTGTTTGGTTTCTTTCATTTATTATTTAATATTGCATCTTTATTTATATTTTTGCTTCTCAAATAACTATTAGTGTTTAATTTGATAATTTGTATACATTAATCAAGAATACCTATATTTCATATTATCATAAGAACTTAGAATTGAACCCATAGTTACAATGTGGAATATGATTATGTAGTGATTTGATGAAGAAAATAGAAAATTAAAATAAATCCTAAATAAAATATACTTCCTTTGAAATTGAATAAATTTTAAAAATTATAATAATTTTGTCCTGCATGATGAAAGGTGTGGCTATGTGGAACTCATGGTATCTTAATGGAAGATGCATGGAGTTACCCTACCAGGTCTTGGTACACCCTACACTCGCTTCCATAACCGATGACGGACTTTTACTCCTTTAGATGTTGTTGGAAATTTTGAGATAGGGAAGCTTTGTAGGCAATACTTCTTTTTTTAGGGTTTTTAGATAGCTAAAAACAACTAGGGTTTATAGAAACCCTATATGAACAAACTAGAGCTGGTCTTGGGAGTTGATCTCTCTCTATGCTAGGCTTCTCTCGTTGTTCTTCAAAATATAACAAACTTTAGCTCTAGGGTTTTACATAGTACCACCTCCTTTCCTTTGTTTAATTGAAGCTACTCAAATATAACAAGAGAGAGAAGGAGAGTGTAGCGTGACAGAAAATAGAGGAGAGAGGGTGGTGTGAATAGAAAATAGAGGAGAGAGAGGGTGGCATGAGAGAGAGATCTCCCCTTTTTTGTGCGTGAAGAAATAAAAAATAGAGAAGGGAGAGATTGTGGTGTGAGAGAGATCTTAGGGCATCCAAGAGAAATCTTGTTGTCATAAGAGAGGGGGTTGAAATCTTGTTTAAATAGAATCAATATCTATTTCCTATTTTGAATAGGATTCCAATCTAAGTATGTGTCATCCAATTTCCAGCTTGACCTTTACGATAATTTGGAAATCTATGGGGTGAGAGAGAGATTTGATCAGAGCCATCCATGCCACAAATCATTCATCATGATTTTGGGTGGAAAATAGGAACTCTATACCCTTAAATTTTGACCCATATCTAACTCCTATTTAAATTTATAGTATAATCAATCTTATCATTATCTAGATCTCTTATAATTTATTGGAAATAAATGGTAATCTATATTTTAAAATTTCATGTAGAATAGGAAACCAAATCTTATTTAAAAAGATTTCCTATCTAAATCAAAATCAATTATTAAAAAAATGGGGTGTGCCTCCCCTTATGCTAAATTTATTGCATGCCCCTTTCTGCCTACAAAGGTGGTGTGCCCCTTTTTCCCTAAAAAGGTGGCGTGCCACTTTTTTCTTAACAAACTTTTGGGCGTAGCCCGAAGGTGGCACGTGGTCACTTAAAAAAGACACGCACATGTGGGGCTGGATCTTTGGTCCCACATCTGTTATTTTAAGTTCTGAAATTTCAGAAATACCCTTTCAATAAAAAATTAGAGCAGAAATAATATTTTAAAATTTTGAAAACATATTTAAAAATTAAAATAACATTTATAATACCAATTAAAATATACTAGGAATGGACTGATACCAATGGGTCAAAAATAGCGACAATAAGGGCACCCCATTCGTCCCAGAAACCATGATCTAGTACTGTCATCTTATCTAACCCAACTAGACCCATGACCTACAGTCTTATTTCAAAGGCTGATGATTGGCTTGTCAATGTTGGATAATAAATAGTGGGATCATGATCCTGGAATGTAAATTTCAGTTTGCTACTTTAGGAGCAAGTTTAGCAATTGTCACCACAGTGCAAAGGGTGCTGTCCATGCATATGTACATGTGTTTCTCTATAGGGCTGGTTCCCAATAACACAGCTATCATGTGTAGGTGTCGTGCGAAAATTTGTTGAGGCTTTGGCCCTTGCTCTCACAGGCTCATAACTGCACACAAGAGACCACACAATTCTCTTGGCCGACAAACATCATCCATGACCATCTCTCCGACTGCAACAAGGGATGATCCACTACAAATCCTTTTCGGTAGTGTCACATGCCTAAGGGTGAGAGATATGACTAGGGCATAAACCACTCAACCCTTGGTCAGTCAATACACACACTCCTATTGAAATGCATATTCCACTATGAAATAACATATTTATAAACTCTCTAGGCCTTTAAAAGCCATAAAACCACACACATGAGACTTCCTAGCTGGAGAAAACTTGTCCTCGAGTTATGAGCCATGTTAAGAATTCAGCTTCAAAATGACCTTCTTCAGCTCTCTTCTTCTTTGTTGGATTAAAGATTATTGTTGTAAGAAGAAATCATCAAGAAATGGATCCGAAATGTATATATTGAGGAATCGATATACATTTAGTAAATTTGGCTAGCTCTGATATTGTCTTGAAAATTGTATACGAAACTTCAAACTCAATTTTCTGGTCATTAGAAACTTTCTTGATATCATTACTCTTTGAATCCAAGGTCGCAATTTGCGGTTTATGAGCCATCCACCCTTTCGATACCTAATTTGATTCCAATGCCCTAAATCTCTTGAATGCTCCAACTCTTCGGTATCCTTGACATCTTCCACTTGAATCTTATCATAGATGTCTCCCAAGAGATCTTCTTGTTCAACTAAGCATGTATCAAATAATGGTGGGGAATCCCAATCTAAAAACTGTTGATTTTGGAAATAACTTGATGAGAATAGAAATTCTCCATAGTCGACATCCTAAATATCACAAACCAAATCACACTCACAAGGAGCATTACCGCTTCCCTGGTTGTGAGTCGAATTAAGTTTTCAAAATTAGGAATGTACGCCTTCAAATTGAAAACCCTACAATGATCTTCCCTAGGTCTAGGCTTTCTATCACTTTCCTCTTCACTCAAGTCGTCACACGGAGCATGGCTGTGCAACAGGTCATACTTGACGTCTTGAGCCGGAAGATCACTATCTTGCCCATGAGTGATGCCCGTGAGTTGCCGTGCAAATTACTAAACTTGCCCTTTGAGATCTTCAATTTCTTCACCTCTGACATCTTGGAGTAGGTCTGCAAGAGCTCCCTTTCCACAAACCCTTCTTGCTGCCATAGGTTCACTGAAATCGCAAACCCTAAAATCTGCAAAGTGCCTAGCTGAAATTAGCAAGTTCTAGGCTGAAATTAGTAAACCTCTGGGCTAAAATCAACGAATTCTTGGCTGAAATCAGCAAATCTCGGCCTAAAAAGGACCGTTACCCGGTGTTGGTCCCGCCTACACAGGGTCTTGAGAGGGGTGAGGTGGAAATGGTCCTAACCTTCGGCTTTTTTTTATGCACAAAGTGGTCACTCTCAAGACTCGAACCTGCGCTCTTGCGCTGGCTACCCGAGCCTTTTACCATCACACCAAGTCCCGTATATTTAATAAATCTCGGCCTAAATTTAATAAAACTTAGACTTGACCAGAGATTTCTGCCTTTACTTCTCAAGAATCTTGTGCTCTAATAAGAATTAATGTAGGGATTTGATGAAGACAATTGAAAATTAAACAACTTCTGAGCAAAAGGAAAAGCACCAATTGAAGAGAACCAGGGAACCCCCCAAAGCCCTAACTTGAGAGCAAAAGCCTCCTAGGCCTTCTTCTTCTTCTCAAAGTCACGTGAATAGCCCTACCGCATGCCACACACCTCTTGTTATTCCATTTTTACTTACAAAGTTCAATAATGCCCCTATTCGAAAATGATATTAGCTAAATAATCCTAACTTAAAACAATACTCGTAATGATATTTTAGCCTTGATAAAACAAAATATAAGTACCTTATCTACTTTTTTAGATAATCTTAAAATCCTTAAAATATAAAGAAACCTAGAACCGCTAAATTTTTTTTCCTCAAATTATAATTGGAATAGAAATCCTTTAAAATTAAAACAAAAGTTAAAAATAAGAATTGATGCTTAATTTAGTTTGTTACAAGATCATCTCATTCATGCTTACATATATTTCTACGTTTTTTATACATTTTAGTAATTCATATAAGAAAGTCATATCATGTATCTGCAATTAGTTATCAGTGATTAGACATGTATTCTAAGATGGCTTCTAAAAATTTAATTTGCACAAGAGGCAAACAAAATGTTATAACAGTTAACAACATAAAAAAAAAAAAAAAAAAATCGCATAAGGCTGTGATACTGGCCCCATTAGGTTGTAGGAATGTAAACCTAGTTTTGGATGATGTATTATTCAGAAATTCAACTCAGTGACAAACATAATGTTTCTCTCCACAGTAACTGAGGAATCAAACCTTTTTTAAGTTCAAAAAATGAATAAAAATATCCTGATGTAGTGGACCATGAAGTTGTAAATCGAAATATTTACTCATCTTTGTGTAAATGAAGGAAGCTCAGGAGGTTGAATTGAGAATTCATCAACTAATATATGAATTGAGAATTCATCAACTAATATATGCTTTTGTTTGTAAGGTTTTGTTATGCTACAACACTTGTAGCGTAAACCCTCAAAGTCCTCAACAGTTTTGGACAGAAAACCCAACAAGGTTAAATAAATGCTATTAACTACTATGGGCTATTTCAATCCTTTTTTACGTGGGAGATATTTTCACTAGATCTCTCCCCCGCCACCTCCCTCTCTTTCCTTACCTTGTCACAGAGCCTCTCTCACTCTCTCAAGAACCCTCTCTCTTTCGAGATCGCCTCTCTCATTGCAACAGCCCCTCTCTCTCTCTCTCTCTCCAGAATCCCTTCTCTCAAGATCGCTTCTCACTCCAAACTGCCCTCCTCTCTCTATTAAGAACCCACTCCCTCTCAAGATCGCCTATCTCACAAAACCCAAAAATAGCCAAAAAGGGGTACCCCCAAGTTCGAACCTTTAGGGATAAAAATTCTCTTTGTGAAACTAATATATGTTCAGAAAAGGTGGGAAAAAGGGCCTCCAATAAAGCCTTGAAATGGGAGGCCAATATTTTCCCAAGTAATATGAGCAAAAACAAACCACAATTCCAAAAAATTGCACAAATAATCCTCTAATGTTAGTCAATTGAATCCTAGCCCTGGTACAAAACTGTGGAATATAGAGAAAAAATTCTCTTTAGAGAGAGAAACAAACAGGTTCTCTAGAGAGAGAAACAGGCGTCACTGAGGTATGGCTTTCGGGTTTCTGATCTGGTATTGCAGGCTCATTGCAAATGGGGTGTTGGCAAAGGCTGTGGAGAATGCTTTTGGGGCATACACGCCACGTGGGATGGAGACTTTGGTTCTCTGCATCTCTCATCTCAAAGATGCTGAGCGAATGGGAACCATGAGTCTTGGAGCGAGATTTGGGGGAGAGTTTTCAAGTTAAAATCTTAAATGGTTATAAAGGACTAAAATGCCCTCACAAACAATATAGAAAATATTGGATCTTTTGATATTATGGTCAACTTTTTGTTGTGCACGATAAGGCTTTACACCAAACATGGTGTAGCGTAACAAAACCCATGATATTTGTTGGCACACGCACACAAGCTTTCTTGCAACCCACAGCACATCTCTATTTTTGTGCTATTTGCTCTTTACATTTCCTTGGAATTTTTCCTTTGCATCTCCTTGAATTGCTGCATCAAACAGAATGTGATTGAAGTTCTTGTAATGGCAAATTTCTTCAGGTTGGAGTCATCATCATACCCAGATCATATGTAATGGGAAAGGTTGACCAAAGGAGTTATGAAACTCTAGTTATACTGATCTCAGCATCTCTCTGTATCCTGCTTGTTGGCTGCGTTTGCATCATGATTCTGACCAGTGGTGTATCGAAGGAAATGAAACTAAGAGCTGAATTGATAAGTCATCTTGATGCAAGAAGGCGAGCTGAGGCCTCAAATAACTACAAAAGTCAGTTTCTGGCAAACATGAGGTAACTATTATGTTGATTTTTCTTTAATTTTTTAAAAAACTTTCTTTTTCTGCTATTGTTAGTTGACAATGAATTACTATGATTTACACTTCAATTTTTTGGGACTTCATATTTTTGAAACATTTGGTTTATAGACTATTTTAGCTCATTTGCAAAGCAATTTCTCAGATCCTTTTTCTTCCCAATACCATTTTTGCAATTCTTAAGTTATTTGTTGATCAATATAATGGGTATTTTCTTCTGCCTAGTTATTGCACCAATGCTTTTTGTGGGTGACCTTGAAGTTTTAGAATTGTGATCGTATCCCCTAAAATCCTGACAATATACTAACCAGAAACACCCACAAACTCAGATAACACGTCTCAAAAAGGGCTCAAAATCCTCCTATAAATGTTTATTATGCATTGCATTTACCGCCCTTTAATTCCCTGAGTTGTTATGAGACCTATTTTTGCAGTAGCTGGAAAAGAGTGAGGCTCTCTAGCCGTGAAATTTGAGAGAATTATCTATATTCCTTTGCTCAATAATTAAATATATATATAACAGTATGATGCCTATATATAGAACCATGTTAGAAATTGTTTTATAAACATTTAGTTGCCAAGGTTCATTTGGTCCTTTATTGAGTAGAAAGCCAGGACTGATTTTATCATCCCATGATTTGGGCAGTAGTCAATATCTTTCTTGTACCACTAATTGTCGCCCCTGTACAATTCTGGTGTTTCACATGACTTAACTACAGTTTATACACTCATGCTAACCAAAAAATATTTTTTATATAGTCGATGTAGCACAAATCCCAATGATTTGGTTTTGATCAGTCTGTTACTACCTTGATGTTGCCTTCAAAGTTCACAATTTCATATGTCCTTTGTGCTTCTTGTACAGCTGTGGTTCATTAAACGCATGCATTTTGTACAGAAACACTTTATGTTCCTTGAAGAATATTATCAAAGACAAATATGGGTCACCTGACCCTTTTATGTCAGTTTGAATATGGGGTTGCAACCTTGTCATTTTGAATATCGGGACTTTGATCTCATGCTTGATATACTAAATCAGATGTTCAGGAACATATATGAGCTGTTTCAATGTGTCCGTATATTGTTCAAATATTTCATTGTCCATTGCTAATGTTGCAGTCACGAATTGCGGACACCTATGGCTGCAGTTATTGGGCTCTTGGATATTCTTATGTGTGATGATTGCTTGACAAATGAGCAGGTTGCTACAATTTCTCAGATCCATAAATGTTCAACTGCTTTACTAAGACTGCTGAACAACATTTTGGATCTCAGTAAGGTGAGGAAGTTAAATCGTATGCCTGAATTTATTTTGTGCACTACTCTGTATTGTTATGTTGTAATGATCCGCTGTAAATCAATAAAACCTCATTTTATTTCTTTCTGGTCTTATTGCAAATAAGGCTCAACTTATTACCAGTTTGTGCCATGCCAAAGCAATACTTTCCTCTTGGATATTATACTTTATTTTAGATATTTGATGATGTCCATGTGATTTGACTTAAGTGCAGTTACTAAGAATCATGCTACCTACCTATAAAGACATTTCTGCTTAAGAATACATGTCAAAGATGCACAAAGTTGCTGTTACTCATTTTGTGTTTTTCTCATCTGGATTGGGGGCATGTTATTTAATTAGAAAGATGGTATCTATTAAGTGGGTGGAACCACAGGAAAAAAAAAAAACAGAGAAAATGAGATAGAGTCTATAGGGAGAAAAAGAGATTTGGAGAGAGGAGTTAGGGAGATGATTTGACAGAGTGAAGAAGAGAAAGGGCCGTCGTATTTGGGTTAGGTATCCTACACCCCCCCTGCAATCTTATTTATAATAATAAATGATTATAATTGCAAAAACTTTCCTTAAAGTATATGAAAAAGACAAGAATGCCCTATATTCGCATAATTGGTAGGGCTAACACTCCCCCTCAAGCTAGTGCATAAATGTCAACCATACCCAACCTGGAACAAATCATTTGAATCTGATTATGACCATGAGCTTTGTTGATACATTTACTGACTGATCCTTTGACTTCACATGTGGACTAGATATCTACTTATTAGTTATTGTTTCTCGAATAAAATGACTATCCACTTCAATATGTTTCGTTTTCTCATGGAACATTGTGTTGCTGGCTATATAGAATGGCAGATTGATTATCGCAAGATATCTTCATTGATCCACTGGTTGTGGATCCCATCTCTTGCATCAAGGTCTTCAGCCGCATTCTCTCACTCTTAGTGTGAGCCATTTCTCTATATTCTGCCTCAGTAATAGTCCTTGCCATAGTTTCTTGAATCTCTCTGCTGAGGTCACAATTCTGGTTCGGAATCCCGATTCGGCGATTCCTAAAAGGGATCTTCACAGAATCCATTTAGGAATCTAGATTCCATAAGTTAGGAATCTTGTTTCATAGCTTTTTAGGAATCTCGATCCCATTATTTGTAGAATCTCGGCCCCAAATGTTTTTAATCTCGATTCCAACATTTATTGAATTTTGATTCCATGTCTGTTGATTCCTGATTCCACATTTAAGGAATCTTGATTTGTTATGGTTTTGAATCTAGAATCTACAACATAAAAGACCTCGGTTTGTAGGAGAAAGGAATTGCGATTCAATCAACATAGAACTTTGGCTCGACCTCCATTAGATACCTGTTTGATGTCAAAATTTCTCTCTAACCACATGTTGTTTTTTAATTCCTGCAATAATGTATCCATGTGTGTGCTTGATGTTTAGATTGAATTTCTCCCCTACCACAATTGCATAATGTAAATGCAAGCAAATAGTAATAATAAAATAAAATAAATAAAATCATAAAGAAAACAATTTGAAGTACATAACATCCAATTACCTGAATGGTTACCACTTTTTAAAGGTAATTGGAGTAGAAATCTTCATTCGATTCGAATGCTTCTAATTGTTCCAATTCTTCTAATAGTGCTAGGATTGGCTTGAATCGCATTTCTAATAGTGCTAGGATGAACTCAATGTTCAAAAAGACAGATTTGGGCAGCGAGGCGGTTTGAGTGCTTGACCGCCTAGGCGGGCGCCCGAGACAGGGTGCCCTCACCAAAATTAAAAGCCTCCCCCCACCCCAAACATAAAGAATAGGGGAGTTCTGAAGGCATGATTTAAAGCCTTAGGGAGTTTTTAGGGCAATTTTAGAGCCCCAAACTCCCCGTGATCATGAAATAGACGAAAACGTAATAGTACAACAATACAATACTACAATGAGTACAATCACATAATATATTTACGGATGAGACAATCATACAAGTCTCAAAGAGATTGTAACTCGTAAATTGTAACTTGTAACTTGTAAGACATTGATTTTTTGCACGAAAAAAGGGAAGCCCCTAGGTGCAAATTGGTGAAATTAACATACGGAAAATTCGCATGTAGTATGTGTGATTGCTCTATATTTAGCCTTTGCACTAGATCTAGCCATAACATTTTGTTTCTTACTTCTCTATATTACCAAGTTTCTACCAGTAAATGTACAATAACTTGTTTTAGACCGCATGTCTGATGTTGAAGATGTCCAATCAGCACATGAATTACTTTCAATGGCTAAATAATTATTTCTCTTGTAAATCAAACCGCGATCGGAAGCTCCCTTCAGATACCTTAAAATTCTATAAACCACATCTCAGTGAGGAATCCTTGGAGCATGCATAAACTGACTCACAACACTTGCTGTGAAAGCAATATCAGGCCTCGTGATGGCGAGATAAATCAGCCCCATACCAGTCTTTTGTAATTTCCTGCACCCTCTAATAACTCCCTCTGATCAGGCAATAATTTTGTATTTGAATCCATATGCATATCCGCTTGTGTAGCACCCAACATTCCAGTTTCTGTCAACAAATCAATCACATATTTTCTTTGAGACGAACTAGTGTCATGCTTTGATGTGGCTAGTTCAATTCCGAGAACATACCTTAGCTAACCTAAATTCTAAAAATATTGTTGTAGATGTCTCTTTAAATCACCGATGCCTATTTCATTATCGCCAGTAACAACAATGTCATCAACTTAGATGACTAAAGCAATTATTCGGGGGTCCTATTTTCAAATAAGCATTGAATGATTTGCATGATTATGCTGAAATCCATATGCCGTAACAATTTCACTGATTTTTTAATACCATGCACGTGGTGATGATTTTAGGCCATAACTTACACACTTTATTTGACTCCCCCTGAGTAACAAACCCTTTTGGTTGCTCCATGTACACCTCTTCTTGTAAATCACCATGGAGAAAAGCATTCTTGACATCAAGTTGCCACAACCGCCATCCCTTGTTGCCAGCCACAATAGGGGCAAATTTAGGTGTCAATGCCAAATGTTTTATTGTATTCCTTTGCTACCAATCTGGCTTTTAATCTTTCTATGGTGCCACAGGTTGATATTTGATTTTTTAAACCCATCTACACCCAACAACCCTTTTTCCAGCTGGTAACTTAGTGCGTTCCCATTCCCATGTATCATTTGAATGAAGTGCATCCATTGCAATCCCCACCATGTAATAGTGCACCTATGCATCATCGGCATTGTTTTTCGATCGGAAGATCTAGAGCTAACTATCAAGACTTTTGGGCTATCCGAACACGTTTGCCACTCGATGGTTCATTCATGTTTGTTGCCGGGGGCAACAAGACCAAGCTGGTAAGGAAGAAAAGAATCCTTCATATTTCTATGAATCCCTATGAACATAAAAGGGCCGAGTCCTTTTACCATTCGGTATAAAAGGGATATTTATATAGATATGGGAGGGGCCACATTAAGTCCCTGCCTGTGCATTAGTACACTTATTTAGCAATTCAAAATAGAGGACTCTTCAGTTGTGATCAAAGGCTCCTGGGTCAATAACCAAGGGAGCAGGTTTCTGAGAGGTAAGAAGCACAAAAGTATGTGAATTGGCAAAGGTGGCAGTAGAAGAGGAAGATGAACCATAGATTGCTGAACTTGTTTAACAAGTATATTATATTCTTATTTGGAAAGCAACACTGGGTCACCAGCAAAATCTGATTGTTGTTGTTAATCACCAGGTCCATTTTGATAAGGTTCATCACTCTCAGATGTGTAAATAGCCTGATTTGCACAGGCAAGCGTACCAACCTTTTTCCAATACTTGTCAAATGTATAATTTGTATGCTCACAATGCCTACACTTGCGAGTTCCTCGACTCTTGCGACCATGACGTTGACCTCGTACTCTTCCTTAGTCATGACCATGTCCTCGACCTCTGCCTCCATCACCTCTCCATACAACTGAATTCAAGGCTGATCCATCATTAATATTGAGCCAGAAGGAGTGGGAGAAGCAGATATATTGACACGTTGAATGTGTGCGTAAACCTTTGTGAGCGATGGTAGTTGATTGTTTGTCAAGATCTGTCCACATACCGAATAGTACTAAGGATTATGACCCTAAACTCTTCATGTGCCTCTTCTGTAATTCCACATCGCTAGATATAGGCTGATATAGATTTAGCACCTCCCACGTACCCTTTAGAGTATTGTAATAATATTCACACTCTTATTACCTTGTTGCCATTGAAACATTTTCTCAAACAGATCATATACCCATAGTTATTTTCATCTGATGATTATGTTTCTTTCGAAGTGTCCCAAATTCTTTAACTATATCAAGAAACATCACATTAGCACTTATTTGGGGTTTAGCACTTATTTGGGGTTCCATACTTCTCGACAACTCATGATTGTCCGATCCATCCTCATCCACACTTCAAATGACAATCAGATTTACTAGGTTTATCTTCAATCAAGTATTCTACTTTACCCTAGGCACCAAGGGACACTTTGACAAATTGAGCCCATACAACATAATCAGACTCCTTTAATTTTACCGATGTGATTTGTATTGTCAATTTTAGAAAGATTAAGGTTTCTAGGTTTAATTTCCTTGTCCATGAGTATATAAAATAAAGGGGGAAGATGACAACCAGGATTGGGAAATTTCTGTCACTCAGACAACCCTAATACAATGTTAGAAGCCAAATAAAGTGGAGAGATACTTATCATTCAGATCTGGTCATGTTCTCACACTTGAATAAATTAGGGCAATACCACATTAAATACATTTGAGCATCACCACGCCACCATTATTGAAACTATAGTAGATCTTGTTCTTGAAAGAGAACACACACACGCAGCAGCATCACCACACTAACAGCAGATTAGATGGCCTTTTGCACACAAAACAACCCTAGGAAACAACCCTAGGGTTTTTATTGAATGGTCTTAGGGTACCCCTTGACAATATCAGCATCACTGGTTTCTTTCTCTTTTTTTTTTTTTTTCGTGAAAGGAAAGTGGAAGATAAATGTTTAGGATTTAAGGGAAAGAGAAGATGAAGACAAAGGGAAGATGGAAGTACAGGGTTTAGAGAAACGGGAATATAAATGGAAACGGGAGGATGAAAGTTTAGGGTTTAAAGAAAGGGGAAGGTGAAAGTTTAGGGTTTAGAGAAAGGGGAAGATGAAAGATCAGATCTGCTCTTATACCGTGTCAGAGAAAGTAGAGAGACAAAAAATAAAAGAAAAAAAGAATAGAGAGAGAGAGGGAGATATGAGAGATGTGAGGTTCAAAACAGACCCCTCATGCACCTCTTAACCAACTTCTATATTATTAAAAAACATGAGGGGGAAAATTCCCCATACAAAATCTGAAAGGACACTTAGGTCCTAGAACATAGATAAAAGAACTTTTAACAATGGTAAAAATGTGGTTTTGTTCTTTGTAGTTTTTTTAATTTTAGTTCTAGCACCGGACTTGATTAATACATTTTATTATTTTTGTTGTAATAATGTGCGAGTTAGTGGTTTCACTCTCTTTATCTCAGTTTCACTCAGCGTAAGATAGTGCAGGTTGAATCTGGAAAGTTGGTTTTAGAAGATGCTGAGTTTGACTTGGAGAGAGAACTAGAAGGGCTTGTGGACATGTTCTCTGTACAGTGTATCGATCATAATGTAGAGATCGTGCTTGATCTAGCTGGTATGCTATGCAACCTTATCTTTAAAAGTTTCTGACTAACTACTGTTTTTATAGCACACCTAATGAAAACTTCATACCTGATGAATTACATCTTTGTAAGGAAAAATAATTTCCTAGACACAAGAGAATGTAAACTATAGTCATAGGGATCTAAGCGAGGGAAGCGGGAGTGTGGGATCAATGATGCTTGGAGATTCGTAGTTGGGGGATCGAGATCCATACATCATATGGTAAATGAATTTAGATCCCAACATGTAGGGAGCATTACTTAAATTATAAAGTAATGATAAAATGATATAGTCTAGGATCAAATGATAAAGTATATGGGATCGGGGTCCGTGAAGCTTTGAATCTAGGCTCCGGAAGATCACTTAACTAGGTTTACTGTAGTTCAGGATCAACTTCGAATTCAACAATTCAAATCTCAGTGTTGTTGACTGGGTCTTCATGAAAGTTCGACAATATGATCTAGCTAAGCATATACAATTAAAAATTTTCTTTTATTCATTCCCGCTAGAACACTCACAAGTGTTCAAAATTATAATTTTATTCATAAAATAAGTCCTAATAGAATCTAGGATCATATCTTGCAAGCCATTACAATTCTTTACAATCATACAAAACACAATGCATGAAGTTGAATGAAGAAACATGGAGCTATTAGAATTACCAAATACCTTGCCTCAGGTTACCACTAAGGACTTCATACACACCACCCGGGGTCTCCCCCACTGAGGCACACGAGATCTCGGTCCTAACCTAGTCTCATAATTCAAGAAGCCTAGGCAAAACCCGTACTCAAGAGTGAAAGCATATGGGAACATGGGATGGGAATCTTCTCATAAGATTTAGGCTTTACCAACCATGGATGTGCCCCTTTTTAATAATAATTATTTAAACCTTAGTAGAGAGAAAAATTGAACAGGAGAGAAAAGAGAGAGAGTGGGGCGTGTCTGCCTGAGGGGGAGAGAGAGACTAAGCTCTGATGTGTAGAGTTTTACCCCCCACAGAAGGGGCATTTATAGTGCAAAAGCTAGATTTAGAGTTTGCCATCATTGTGAGACTTAATATTAACCGTAGATCTTGGAGACCTGTGGGGTGAAGAGATCTTAGCCTTATATTCCTTAAGTCAGCCATCATGATTTAAAAGAATGTGTTACAACCATTATCCCTCAGTTTTCGTAACTCTATTCCCATCAATTTTTAATTAGAGAAAATAAGATCATTTATTTATTGATTTCAATCAATCACAATAGTTTCCTTTTTTGAAATCAATTATCTCATGTCAAAACACTTCCCACAAAAATAAACCATCAACTAGGAGGCTCATTGAACAAGCCAACTCAAGAGGAAAAGAGAAGGTGGGATGTGCCACCTTGTGGGCACTTTTGTCCATGCCTCCTCATAATATGCCTGTGGGTGGTGGGCCCACAACTCAAATGGGCCCCCACATCCTCAAGTTAATTTTTGGAATTCTATGATTAATTTTTACAAACTGATGAATAGTTTTATTTTCTCTTGGAAACAATTAACATACAATTCACTTTAGGCTATTTTGAAACACCTCTTAGCCAAAATAAAATAGAGATTCAAAAATTCATTTTCGTATTCTAAAAATCAAATAAAGTGTAATTAAACATATTAAAATGAATTTGTTGGGAATTAGATCCAAAGAGTTAGGAATACCACAAATACATTGAGGACTCCCATCTATTCTAAACGACCATATCCCATTGTCATCTTCTCAAACTCACCCAACAGATCCCATGACCCACATACCATTGCAGGGGTTCATGCTTGGTCCATCAAAGCCAACCAATAAGTGAAGGAGATACGATCCTAGTTTATGGAGTACATGTCTCTCTCTGAGGACAAGTCTTGGTCCAATTCTTGCACAATACTTTGTGGGTCCTTTCAACAAAGTCCACTGTTGCAAGGAGACATCTCTTTGGCACATATACATGACCTGCCCCAGAGGGCTGCTTCCTAGATGGCTATCTAGTGTTCATGTTGTGCGATGGTAATAATGAGGATTTTGGCCCTTGGCCCCTTCAGCCATCCACCGCATACATGGATCACATCCAGTCCACCTTAGGCATAGCTCTAACCTCATCAAGGAATAACCCCATTACGAAACCCTTATCGGTTGTGCACAATGCCCAGGGCTACATGTTTAGGCATCAACCCGAGCCTAGCCCATCGAAACTCTCGTGAGTCACGGCATTAGTAATGCCACACAGTCTATCCAGACCATGCCACACAGTTTATCCGGACCGTACCACGCAGTCTATCTGGACCATGGCACATAGTCTATCATATTACTATATAAAGTTTTCAGTACTTGCTCTCATTGGGCCTTTAAATGGCCACATAACCCCATCACTTGCCTCCTCAGGGTCCTTTCGTTTAGATGCCATATGGGGATATGGTCAATGAGAGGGCAAAGGCCTCTTATCCCTCTCTCTTCTCCCGGCCCCTCCTCTCTCTCTCTTCATATTTATATTTTTAATGCTAAAAATTTAAATTTTTCATGCTCTTGACGCTTTTTGTGCTTTCTCTCAAAAAGTGGTGGGCTTGCAATCATTGCTTCTCATTCACAATGCTTGCGACATTTCTCTCTCTCTCTCTCTCAGATATTAACAAATTGGGGAGTTTTGTGCATTATCGTATTCTCTCCAAATTCTTTGATGGGGTACATTGTGATCGCCCCCCCCCCCCCCCCCCCCCACAATAAAAAAAATGAAAATAAAAAAAATTGAGAGGTGGACAGGACCCAATGAATTAGTCTCAAGGGAGTTAAGCCTTTCAATCACGATCTCTATTCTCACTTTTAATACCACAATTCATTTATCCTCACTATCTTTTTCCATCTTCTTTCTTCTCTCTCCCTGCCCTCTCCTATCACCTTTCTTTGAAACCAGTCACAAGTCATGACTACCAAGGTGTGTAAACAGTTAATGCAAACGATGTAAGAATCAATGCTATTAGATAAATTGTAGGTCATAAAAGAATAAAGAACCTTCCTAAGTAGGGAATTTGTGTCAAATTGTCTATAGCTCATAGTTTAGACCGAAGAATTGACATTCACAGCAACTAAAATATGTTGGTGATCCACGCTTCCATTGTCAATGATCTCCAAATGAGTCGGTGAACCTGATTCCTAATGTAGAAGAAGCTCAATTCCAAGTTCGTGGAGGAACTATTCTAATTAAACATGGACCCATACTTTGGATACGAGGCATCTGGATCCCATTAACCAGGGATCTAGATCCCCACTTATGCAGATCAAGATCCCTAAATTAAAAATAATCTTGGAGTAGACGACCCTTTTCCCTGATTGTGGGATCCAGCTTCTGGAGCTGGAGCGACCACCTCCTTAGGAGATCCCAGTAACTATGATGTAAACCTTGCATGAAATTCAAAGAAATGAAGCGAGACAAGAATGATTCAGCTGATATTCAAATGCAGCAACTAGAACTTGATTTATGTCGAACAAGAAATAAAAACATTAGTTCATATTATTAACTGAAACTTAATTATGTTCTATGATTGAGTCAGTAGTTATTATAAAGGGTACTGAATGACGCAATTCAAGGTACCTCTCCTAATGAGGTTGCCTTCTCTCAAAGCTATCCAATTAATCGAGTAGTTTCCTAGTTTATTGTGTTTTTCATCAAGAATTAGTGATGTTACAAATTACATCGCATGCAATATAATTTGCTTTTCTTGCTATTGCTTGTAGATGATATGCCAAAACTTGTTCGAGGAGACTCCGCTAGAGTGGTTCAGATATTTGCAAATCTCATCAGCAACTCTATTAAGTTCACATCATGTAAGTGCTTCCTTAAGCTGTTTCTTCTTTCTTTTTTTTAATATACTTCCTTTAAAGAAATGGGCATGTCCTTGCATAAATGGCGCATGCCCTCCAGTAATATGAATAATGTGAACAGCGGTGGAATCCATTAGTTCTAGATTCAGGATTTGACATGCTCTGTCATTCTTAATTATGAAACTTAGAGCGGTTGACAGAGTTGCTGTTATTCACCTTTAGGTAATGTCACTGTAATGTTTACTATTGAATTTGACATGGTCACGTTGCGCAGCAGAATCAGGTTACCATGCAGCATTTCATGATTTCATTATGATAAGTGCTCACTGAGTAGCTTTTGTTCATTATGTTTCAGATTTTACAGATTAATTTAACGTGAGGTGCCTTCTCTTCCAACGTTTGCTTTGTAGCCTTGAACACTTCTCTTGGTTATATCTGATTGCATCTAATGCCATTAGCATATTTCTTCGCTCACAAATCTTGTTCATATCATTTACTACCCATTGTAAGTTTCATACAGAAAGGCCCATTTTCTTTGTTTTCAGTAGCGTTGTCAAAGAAGTAATACAGCTGAGGATTTGTGAAGCTCACATTTATGAGAAAATCACTTGCTGGAGTTGACTTGGTTGAGACTGGAGATTGGCTGCTTTTGTGAACTGTGCAATATCATTGTCCATTACTACTAATCTAGTAGTATTATCAAAGTCCTATCAAATGAATAAGACAGTTGAGCAACTCGGATGCAGTTGCTTATGGTACTACTGACAGGTGTCTAAAAAATGTGGCACATGCTGGATCTCATGGGATGGCAGTGGAGGATGGGTCAAGGAGTCAATAAGCAAAAGATTTTAAGCATACCTCACACAAGGAACTGAGATTTGCAAATCAGTTTTTCAAAAGGTGCTGACATGCCTATGCGGATGCCTCAAGACTGGGGCGTCCCCTATTCAGCAAGGCCATGAATCTACACACATACAGTATTGCGTGTAATATAATTATTTATCAGCTTTTGAAAAATCAGTTGAGTGTACTAGGGCTCTGCCAAGTTTCTCAGCCTTGGCACCTTACTGAGTCAACTATGAGGTACACAATTTGGGGTGGGATTCTATGTATAGTTCTTGGGCATATATCATAGTGACTTGCTCAAGTGCTATATGTTGCATCAGAAAATAAAAAGGAATATGCCCTGTTGTTTTCCTTTTCTCACTTGTTGGCCCCAAGTTTTTATCCATAATTGAACTCTAAGCTAAATTTTCACTAGCTTAGAAGTCTTAGCTTTAAGAAAAAACCGCTGATTTTGCAGATCAAAGAATCAAGCTTTTGCCTGATTTTGAGAATTTTCAATTTCTTCGAAAACGATGGCCAATCTTCGATGAAATTTAAAAAGAAAAGAAAAGGAAAGAAAGTATGATTTCATAGTTTTGAATTTTGGATATACTATTTATCCAAAATTTGGAATGGCTTGGATCTCCTAGATTAAAAGTCGATACCCGAAATTGGTTTGGGGTTTTGATTGTGTTTGCATAAGAAAACTTTGGAAAGGATTTGAAGCCTCGATTCTTATCGAGCATGAGGATTGGGAAACCGGCCTCAAAATTTCATGAAATTTTTATTTTTATTTAAATTCATAAAATTGTTTGGATATTTAGTATGGATTGTCTATAAAGAGACCATTTATCTTTTGTACATGGCGGTCACAATCATTCTCGTCCTTTAAATTTGAAAATAGGTGGTTGTACGAGTTTCATTGAATAGATAGTTAAAAAACAAAAAATTCTCGGACTTTGTTACTCATCCCAAGCCATCTAATTTTACATCTAATGAGTGGGAATGATTATGACCTCTGTACGAAAGATAAATGGTCTCTTTGTAGACAATCCCATTTAGTATTATTAATCAATCTAGTAATATTTGTGGCGCTTGAAATTACATTTTATCAAAAAAATATTGGTTATATATTTTCTCCAATTTTCTTGTGCAAAAAGGCTGTTTTATGGTTGTGATGTTATCAATTACATTTTTGATGCATTTTTTGTATAATTTTTATTAGTGTTTTAAAATGCGGGATGCGACCCTAATGCGGTGGGGGGCCGATGCGGCTCAATGCGGCCCGGATGCGGGTGCATCGCGATGATTAGGTCAATAAATGTAAAAAAGTTTTAAAAAATGTAAAAAAATAAGTTAATGCATAGAAAAAAATATGAAGGTGATATATGTGATAGTAGGTATTTTAGTTTAATGATTAACTTCAAAACTATTAGTTGTCGAAGATTCTATATCTAGTTATCCACTATTCCTTGATAGAAACTAGAAACTTGAAGCCAGCTTCATAAAGCATTCAACAATCAACAACCATCAGCACAAATTTGCACCACAAGCACAACTATAATTAAGCACAACCATCAACAACCATAAGTACAACCATAAGCACATAATAATGATATTACAAAATACAAATCAAAAGTCAAGCTCAAGAAGAGTTAATAGTTAATAAATAATAACTTAATACAATCATCCATTTTGAGAGTCAATTTTGAAATTTGAACTTCTTTTTTTCAAATATCAATCAGACAAGTCATCTTGACAGTCGTCATGCGCATCATCAATATCATCCTCGACGGTCTCCATATATTCTTCTTCATCGGTCTCCTTTGAGTTAGCTTCCTCCTCGACCTCTGAAGCTAATGTGCGAGTGCGACTAGACCCAACAGCTCCTCAACTCCTTTGTGCTCTAGAGTTAGGTTGATCTTCTTCATTAGCCCCTATTGCTAGCTCGACATCAAACCATGTAAGATCCTCACCTTCAAACACACGCTCTTGTCTTGGATCTATGGTCCACTCACTTATGGAATCACCATCAGCTTCATATAATTGAATAGGGTTGAGCTTCGTGTGATTTTCATACCTCTCCCTAAGCCGTTTGTTATACTACACATAAACAAAATCATTTAACTTTTTCTGCTTTAACCTATTTCTTTTTTTTGTATGCAGCTGTGGTAGAAATTTGAAATCAGATAAATTAGATTTTAGATTAGAAATAAGGATTAAGGAATAAGGAGTAAAGGACTTACATGCTCAAATGCACTCCAATTGCGCTCACAACCAGATGAGCTACATGTGAGATTCAACACTCGAATAGCGAGACGTTGTAGATTTGGTGTCTCGCTTCCATATAATGCCCACCATGCAGCTGTATAATATCTTATAATTTAGAATATAGTTAAAAATTAAGGGTATAAAATAAATAATGGAACTATACATAAAGTAAGAGACAAGTAAGATTATTTTTGAGCTTTTGGCCTTTACCTGGATCTGTAGTGTCCCTATTTCGAGTGGCAATATCTTTCCCAACGTTTCCCAAGGCTAACTTGAACTTAATCAATTCATGGTCTGGTACCAACCTCTCCAGCATATCTAAGAACCCACCATTTATTACAAGATCTGACTCAATGGATGGGTGCTTGTAGTGAAGAGATGGGTTTAGAAAATAACCAACTGAATGGAGGTGTCTGTAATGCTGGGTATCCCATCTCCTATCAATAATTTCAAGTATAGCCTTACGTATATTTTCATCATCCTTTAAAACATCTTTTATTTCAGTGCATGCCCTAGTCATTGCCTCGTGTATGTAGCCCATGGCGGGCTTTGCATCACCATCAACTAGTCGAAGCACTCTCACTAAAGAGCGAACCACCTCCAATGCAATAATTATTTGACTTTAAAAAGATGTATTCAGAATAATTTTTTCAGCCTTTCTTCCATCCTTAGGCTTTGACCATTTGCTTTGACTCCATTGCTCTGAAGCAAACATGGTTCTCAGCACTTTTTTCTTGGGTAGGCTTTGAAAAGTGAGAAATGACGTTGCAAATCTAGTGATACCTGGTCTCACTAATTCTCTCTTCTTTGTAAAAGACCTCATCATACTTAGGACTATGGTGTGATTGTAAATAAATCTAACAACAAACATAGCTCTTGAAATCGCCCCACTAAATAAAGATGTTGTACCCATTTTTTTAAGCATAAGATTAACACAGTGAGCTGCACAAGGAGTCCAAAACATATGCTTCCTTTTCAAAGTCAATGAATGCCCAACTGCAGCATAGTTGGCACCATTGTCAGTGATAATTTGTACCACATTTTGCACCCCAACAAAATCGACAATCTCATCCATCAAGCCAAATAAGTATGTACCATCATGTGACTTGTCTGATGCATCAATAAACTTAACAAAAAACGTACCTGTTGGGCAGTTAATCAAAAAATTAATGAATGCCCTTAATTTCCCATCGGACCAACCATCACACATAATAGTGGCCCCATATTTCTCCCACCCTTCTCTCGGAGAAATCAAAATTTTATTCACGTCAAATACAATATCCTTCAACAAAGGCTCCTTAACCTCATGTTGTGAAGGAGGAATAAGTCCTAGGCCATATTGCCTAATTGCTTGGACCATACATGCAAAACTATCCAGAGTTATAGTATTAAAAGGAATGCCAGCCATGTAAATCTACTTTGCAATCCACTTACATATCGACTTCCTTTGTTCTTTCTTATATTTATTGTCAATTGTGGTTTGTTTTGTTTTTCTCTCTCTCCTGAACCACAATTTCGGGGCTAGGGGTGAAAAAAGAATCCATTGGCCCCTTAGAGAGAGGTGTTCATCTCTCAGCACTACCATCAATATTTATAACCCTCTCTCTTGAGGTTGGAGTATGAGTACCCCTTTGCCTAGCAACTTCAGACGTATCATCATCACCATCATCATCAACATCATCAAATAATTGCATATCATCAAGTAATTCCTTTCTTTCTTTTTTTTTTTCTCTTTATCTTTTTTCAATCTATCAAAATATTCTCTAATCTTCTTTTTTATATCATCTGTAGCTTGTGGGCATGCTCTTACATTCCCAAAAATTTTGGCTAAATGCTCTTTTTGTCGAAAAATACCACCAATATAAGTATTTTCATAGAGCAAGCATATCACACAATTTCTATCTTTC